TCTACAGAAAAATTACATACAAGTCTAAAAAGGTTATAATTTCATTGTATAGATGACTGGTTAGGCCAGATTTGAAGTATTGTGTTCAGCCTTGGTCTCCTTACCTTAGGAAAGACATTGATTTGTTGGAAAGAGTTCAGAGGAGGGCTACTAGAATGGTGTCTAGGATGGAGTTGTCATACGAGGAGAGGTTAAGATCTCTGAAATTGTTTTCTCTTGAAAGAAGAAGAGTTAAAGGGGATCTCATTGAAGTGTTTAAGATTTTTAAGGGAATTGGTAGTGTTGATTCATCGTCGTTTTTCATACTTAATGGTGAGAATGGTAAGACTAGGTGATATAAATATATATTTTGGCAGGGTATGGCTCATTTTTAACTAAGACAGTTTTATCTTTCCAATAAGGTGGTTTGCCTTTGGAACGGGTCGCCTTCAGATGTTGGGAAGGCTATAAATGTAAGTGAGATTATGATAAAGCTTGATAACTATATGAATTCCTTTATTAAAATGCTAGTTCTGTAATATCCTAAACAGTTAGTAAAATGAAAATCCACATACCATGAAGTATAGAAGTTGGAGTTTAAAATATCTGAAAAAGAAGTTACCAACAGCTTTCTTCTTCAAGTAGCCTAATTCCGCATGAAAACTGCAAACTTAGCAACATATCTCAGCAACAGAAGGCCTATTTAGGAAGTGTATTGCAGAGTAAATCTGAGATCTGACTTTGACTGAGTTTAAACAAAATAGAGACTGGACACAGTGTAGCAAAATGAAAATCAATCACCATTTTCAAAACACAATCAAAGTCACAAGTACATTGGACAAAGGACAATATTCCATTGGAGAGTCATAGGTAACTTTCTTCATTGATTTTCTTATAGATCTATCTGTTGCGTGAGCGAGATCACGTGACTATTTTGACGCCACCTATTTTCTATTGATCTGCAGTCAGAGTACTATTGGAGTTGAGCACTTCGTTGTTATAGCGTTTGTTTTAGCGCGATTGTTGAAATTAAGTGTATCGTAAAGTTATATTCGGAAAG